AGGCAGAGGCAGAGGCCACACGGCCGCCGAGCAGTCCCGCATCCTCGGCCACGAAAACCACAGGCCGCGGCGGGAGACTGGCTGTCCCTTCACCACCACAGGTTGGGCGGCTCCTCGGCCACTCGGCTCTTAAACAAGGTGATCTCGTCCAGGTGCACCATGGGGACGTCCCGGATGACGTCAGTCAGGCCCTCGTGCAGCAGGGGGAAGATGACGACGTTCAGCGCGGGCCGCTCGGCCTGGAAACTGAACCAGAAGCAAGGTGTGAGCAGGGCCGCGAGGCGCCTCGGGAGGCAGCCGCCGTGGGCCATGGGCTCCGTGAATCCACCTGACTCTCCCACACCCAGGTGATGCAGAGGTGGGCCTCGGCCCTTCCCACGGGGCTGGAGGAGAGGCCCGAGGGGCGGGGCAGGCAGAGGGAGCCTTGCCTGGGGGGAGGTGGTCATGCTGCCATGCGGCACCCCCTGGGTCAGGCAGAGGAATGGAGGCCCAGAGGCCAGCCTGTGGGAAAGCCCCTGCTTTCCTGGGCAGAGGGGGGCGGGTGTCCCAGGAAGGGGAGTGACGCACCTGCAGGGGCTGGAGAGAGGGATGAGGGCCGAACCCCCACCCTGGAGGGGAACAAACTCCCAAGGCAGGTGAGGCAGCAAATCTTCCAGGACAGGAAACAAGGCAGCCGCTGGGAGCCAGCAGCCATCACCTGAACACGTGACAGCATCTGTCACATCACTCCCTGCGCTGCACCCCGGGTCCCCTCCCTGCAGGGGACAGAGTCGAGCGTACCGTGTCCGAGGGGCCTTGGCAGGCCGGGCACTGTGCTAAATGCCAGCAGACACTCCGTGTTGCCCTCTGCGTGGCCGCGCAGTGAGAAGCGGGCTTGGGAAAGTGACGCCCAGGCCACAGGCCTCAGCCGGTCCAAGCAGAGTGCCCCCCGGCCCCGTCCCACGTGCAACTGCCCAGAGACAAAACCAAGTGCCCCCTGGAGCTCAAGGAGAAGGGGGGGCGCCGTGGACCCCCAGGAGTGAGAAAAGACACCCAGAACCTCAGGTCTCAGGCAGCAAGAGGCAGGATGAGCCACACAAAGGGAACCTGGGCATTTGCCCAACAAGCAAGGCCCCCACCGGCGCCTGCTCCACGGAAGGAGGGACCCGCCCCAGCCCCCGCAGGCCCCAGCACTGGGTTAACGACCGTGTAAAGTCGATGCCCGGAAAGACTCATAAAACTTGATGTTTGGGCAATAAAGACGCCGAGGAAGTGCCTCCCAGCCCTGCGCACGCTGTTCTGCTCGAGGCAGCGCTGTGTGGCCGTGAACCCGCGGCACGTCCTTGCCTGCATCCGCCGCGCCCCTGGCCACACTTGAAAGGGAATATGCTCCGAAGTGGGACCTGGTGCAAAGGCCCCTCCACACACACACACACACACACACACACACACACACACACCCGGGCTGTGAGGAGCTGTCAGTGTGCTGAAGGGGATGGGATGGGTTTCTCAGCAAAAGCCAGGAAGGCAGCGGCTGCAGCCCCTCCTCCAGGCCGGCGGCTCTGGGCCGCAGCTGCCCAGGTGGCCAGAGGCACTCGGGGACTGCGCAGAAGGGCACTGGGTGGAGGTGCCACCCCCGGATGAAAGACACTTCCCTCCGAAGGCTATCCCTTCAGTGCGCACCTGGATGAGCCTGGCCTGGGCCAGACCCAGCGAACGCCCAGGCCTCCTCCTGTCCCCACCCAGAGGCGGGCTTTGCAGAGTGAGGCCTAGTCAGTGACCAGACAGTGAGGAAGACGCAAATGCAGAGGAAGAAGTCGATCACTTCCCAGTTCGGGGCTGGGGCTCCCCGGGAGGGAGGCGCGGCTCTGGCCAGGCCGGGCGTGTGCAGGCCATGTGCTCTGTGGACTCTGCTGTGTAACTCACGTATGTGTTCAATTGTGCTTTTGCGTGACTCAAATGTCGTCTGAGGTTTAAGTAAACAGATTCCGTGAGATAAAAAAACTCATTAGAAGCTGGGCTGGTCACTGCGTGGGGACTCGGGACCTGATCCCCATGGGGCTAATCGCATCTCCAACGGCCTCTGGCCTGGAGTCACCTGGGAGCTGACAGTGCCCCCCCCAGGCCTCCTGGAGCACCCCCAGGCCCAGCCTCACCCTCGGCTGCTCTGGGCTGTGCCCCCAGGGCTGTCACTTAGGGACCAGAGGCAAAGCCTACAGACCCAGCACGAAGAGGCACAGGGTCTGCCCTCTGATTCTGAAACCAACACCCGGACTCGGCCGCCTGCTCCCACATGGGGCGAGGCATTAAGACGGGCAGAGGAGGGGCAAGAGGAGACCTGGGGAGGTCACCCAGGGGTCATGGTTGACCTGGCAGAAAGGCCGTCCCTCAGGAGAGCCTGAGAGAAGCGAAAGGGCTCTGCGCTGGCAGCTGGAAGGGTCCCTGCCGCAGGCAGCTCCTGCCCGAGGCCCGTCAGCACACGCGGCTACGCCGCCCTGAGCACCCAGGGGGCGGACAAGCTCCACCTGAGGAACACTTACTGGGTTTGTTTCTCTGCCTGGGAACTGGAAGCAAAATTAAAGATGACAGCGTCTTCCCCCCAAATAAAGGTCTTATGGAAAAGCCAAAGTAACAGGAAATTTTATGCAAGGCATTCGCACTGTAACAACAAAGCTCAAGAAGCTCTGAGGTGGACGGTGGCCAAGAATCCCACAGCCTGTCCCAGCTGGTTTGGCTCAGTGATTCGAACGTTGGCCTACAGACCAAAGGGTCACAAGTTCGGGTCCCAGTCAAGGGCATGTATCTCAGCTGCAGGCTCGATTCCCAGCCCAGGTAAGGGTGTGGGCAGCAACCAATCGGTGTCTCTCTCACATCAATGTTTCTCTCCCTCCCTCTCTCTCTCCTTTCCTCCCTCTCACCTCCTCCCCCCCTTCCACTTGCTCTAAAAATCAATGGAAGCCCTGACTGGTTTGGCTCAGTGGATAGAGCGTCGGCCTGCGGACTGAAGGGTCCCGGGTTCGATTCCGGTCAAGGGCATGTACCTTGGTTGCGGGCACATCCCCAGTGGGGGGTGTGCAGGAGGCAGCTGGTCGATGTTTCTCTCTCATTGATGTTTCTAACTCTTTATCCCTCTCCCTTCCTCTCTGTAAAAAAAAAATCAATAAAATATATTTTAAAAAAAAAAGAATCCCACAGCCAGCCTTGAACTCCCAGAATGCAGCGCGATGCTGCCTGGGGAGGCGGCACCCTCCGTGCTGGAGGCAGGGAAGGGGTGAGAAAAAAGAAAGGCGTTGGGAGAAGTGACAGCCGTCCAGCCTCTTGCTTTTCCTGCTCTCGCTCCGCTTGGTGGCCGGCAGGCCGGGAGCAGGCAAGCCTGAAGCTCTGGTTCCCGTGAGCCAGGGCGCCACCTGCTGGCACTCGCAGGACAGCAGCGGGCACCTCCCTGTGCTGCAGCCAAGGCCTCAGGGCAGGGGACAGGGGCCCAGGCCTGAAAGTGCAGGTGGGCCTGCAGGTCCCCCGCAGGATGGATGCCAAATGGCATTTAGAAAGGTCATCTGGAGCTTTACTGATTGACACAAAAAACCCAGGACGTAGCGTTAAATCAAAAAACGAGACGACGAAAACCGAATGAGAGCCCATCGCGGTCTGCAGGCCCCGGGGCCCTCCTCTTGGTGGAACTGCGGGAGCCTTCACTTAAACATAGCTTGACGCACAGTCTACACCTTCAGAAATGTTATCAACACAGAGTTTTACAGCCAGGGAGGGGGAACCTTCGCCAGGGTTTCTCCTGCACAATTCAGCAGCAAACCGCCAAGAAAACAGGCCCAGTGCAGCCGCCGGCCCGGGCCCAGGACCCTGCAGGCCCCCGGCTGAGGCTCCGTGGGATTCTGAGAGCAGCTGGGGGACACAGAGCTGGAGGAGGAAGTGCCACCGTCCCGGCCACGCGGAAATGAGGGTGCCCACCCTCAGCCCTCCCCCGGGGGTGCGGGGGCATTTCCTCAGGAGCGGACACAAGCTCTGCTCTGCAGCTCCTCTCCAGGAAGCGCACTCGGCCTCCTGATTCTGGGTGCTCGCCGAAGCCCGGTGCAGCTCCGGGGAGGCCGCCTCCCAGGGGAACTGGGCCCTGGTGCAGGCACAGCAGGTAAAGGCCTCACAGAGGCCTGGGGGGAGACGCAGCCCCCGGGAGGACAGTTGTTTTGTTGCTGTTGTTGTTTAAATATATTTTTACTAGAGGCCGATGCACGGAACTCGTGGGAGAGTAGGCCCTCGCAGACCTGGTTGAAGCCAGGCTTTCTGCTGTTCAGTCTATTTGCATATTATGCTTTTATTATTATAGATTGATTTCAGAGAGGAAGGGGGGGAGATGGAAACGTCAATGATGAGAGAGAATCACTGATCGGCTGCCTCCTGCACGGCCCCCTACTGGGATTGAGCTGGCAACATGGACATGTGCTGTTGCCCGGAATCGAAGCCAGGACCCTTCAGTCCCCAGGCCGACACTCTGTCCCCTGAGCCAAACCAGCCAGGGCAGGACAGTTGTTTTTAAATCTGCCGCCTTTGCCCACAACCATCCCAGTAACCACTGCTACTACCTCTAAACAAAGGCAGAGACGTGAGAAATTCAGAGTTCCAAGTTCTCTGCCCCAACTCACAGAAGCAGAAGCAGGACAGAGGCTCCGGAGCTG